TCCATAAAGGAATGGTACTATAAAAATTTTTGATCAAAAGTATTTCCTTCAAGCCAGAGCACTATGCTAAGCAAAATAAGTCAGAGAAAGACAAACACCATATGATTGCACTTGTGGAATTTAAGAAACAAAACAAACGAACATAGGGGGTAAAAAGTATTTCCTTTAGAAATGGCATTACAATAAAAACAATATTCAAGTCCACTTTGGTATGATGCAGTAAGATTTAATTATACAGGCCATTCTTATTCCTCATCTACTTAAAACAAGAAAAATTACATTAAAAATAATATTCTAAATGGGTTCTAAAAAAAAAAAAAAAAACTTTTCTAATGACCATCTGTACTAAAAATCTTTTCAAACAGATATAATCCACGATAATCTTACCCGGTTTACGCCATGGTTTATCTTCAAAGGAATCCAAATCTACCTCCAAGAGTGGAACTCCATTAATGCTTCCAGGTGCATCAAGGTCTACCCCTTTAACTTTTGTTCCTATTTTATAAAATTACAAAATGGTGAAGGAGCTGTTATTAGCAAAAAGCTGAGAGATATAACAGAAAACAGAAACCATTAACCCTTTTTACTACCGATAGCACTAAATACAGCAAAGGTTCCAAACAATGCATTAGAGTTATTTTTAACTTAAATAAAAGCTGAGATCAAACTTTATGGAACAGCTGTAAAATTAACTGGACTGAGAGTTTAGGTGCTAGCTGCTTATAAGGAATTCCTGTACTAACAGGAAGTTGCTAACTTCCATGTTTTAAATCACTTTTTTGTACAGCCTGTGAGCTTAGTCTTTACCTTTTCAAAGGGCTGTAAAACAAACAAGAAAGCCAACCATGTGACTGGAACCCTGTGACCCACACAGCCTAAAATATTACAGAAAATTTGTCCAGGGGTACCTGGTTGGCTCAGCCAGTTAAGCGTCTGCTCTCAGCTCAGGTCATGATCCTAGGGTCTTGAGATCAAGCCTCACATCAAGCCCCCAGCTCAGCAGAGGTCTGCTTCTCCCTCTCTCTGTGTGCTCATACATGTGCTCTCTCTTTCTAGTAAATAAATAAAGTCTTAAAAAAAAAAATTTGTCTGTCTCTGTCACGTATGGTCAAAACCACTCTTTTTAACTGAGCTGTAAGAATTCTACCTATTTATGACCTTCATATATATGCCTTATTTTCCTATTTATACAGTTACAAGTTTTACCTGTAGTTCCATAAACTCTTCCCCCTGTTTTGATGTTAAGATTTACAGGTGCTGTACCGTAACTCCTAAAAACAAAATAAAAATTATACTGAGAAACTTAAAACAGCAATATATTCAATGTGTACAAATAAATTATACATCCACATAATTAACTACATGAATTAACAATGACTCACACATTTCAGAAAATGTTCTAAACTAATTAAAAAATATATTTTTTAAAAGTCTACCATTTTTTCCATCTAAAAAACCTACCTGCTACTAAGTCAGTATCTCACTGTACCAAACTTCGTTTAAGAAATTTGGCTAAGAGGAAAAAAGTCTATATACCTTGTCTTCATTTTCTCACCTCCTAGTTATTCAATATGCAGCAATCCTGCAATAAAGAATTTCTCCATCTTGTTTCCAAGTCCAGTGACCTCTCGGTAGTCCTCCCTGCACTGGTTACTATTGATAAATCCCCCTTTCAAATACCCATAGGGTATTTTTACCCATAAAAATGAATTCATTTATATTAAATCTAAAAATAAATCTAGGGTGATAAAGTAGAAAAGTGTTTGGAAGTAGTCTGTGGTTAATGACTAAAGAAATATTAAAGAAATTCCTAGAATGCTAGTAAAGGCCCGTATTTTGATCTGGGTGATGTTTATATGAATGTACACATATGAAAAAATTATTGAGCTATACTTTTTTAATGTAATATACACATGACAAAGGAAAAAAAAATAGAAAATCTGAAGTCAGACCCAGGTTCAAATACAAGTTTTGTCAATTACTACTTTATAACCTTGGCTAAGTCACTTAAGACCTCATGGATTTTGTATAAATTTTCTGTAACATGGGTTTACAGACAGTTCTCTACTTCTGCATACAATGCATTCTCGTATATGAAGAGGAAAATCAAATACACTAACCAAAACAGACTAAAACATAGGAAGATCTCAATGTTTTCAATGATATATTTCTCACAGTATAATCATGTTATTTAATTTGCTCCTTTATTCTCACAAGTTCAGGTAATTGGACTTGTAAAGATTCACTATTTCTGATCTGCCTAATTTCCATTTTTTATCTACAATGTACTAAAATTATGAGACTTAAGTTATTCACTTACATTAGCACCATCGTTTTTCAGTTTTCTGCTTAAAAATGATATATAAAAGTGAAAAATAAGTGTAATAAAATATTCAAATAATTGTATAAAGCTCCACTGCTATAAATGCAGAAACTATGAAATAACCCAAATTAAACTGTCACTGTCAGGTAGTACTACCATACAATCCTGAAGTGTTTAAATCATTTCAAGGACGTTAATTCATCAGTAAATGCTTAAATACAAAGAATGCATCAGACATAGTTCTAGGCTAAGGAACGATAATGATAAACTGAACAAATACAGCTCCTGTCCCACAATGCTTACATTTCAACAATCTAAATCCAGCACAGCAAAAGCACTTTTGGGTTATCTACATCTGAGTTCTAGCTGTTTAAAAGTCAAATGTATATGGGTGCCTGGGCGGCTCAGTCAAGGTTAAGTGTCTGCCTTCAGCTCAGGTCATGATCTCAGGGTCCTGGAATTGAGCCCTGGGTAGGGCTCCCTGCTCAGAGGGAAGTCTGCTTTTCCCTCTCCCTCTCTCCCTCCCCCTGCTTGCTCTTGCTCGCTCTGAAAATAATAAAATTAAAATGTTTTTTTAAAAAGCCAAATGTACAAAAATCAAGTAGTCTCTAAATGGTCCTCTTACAGAACTGCTAAGGATAAAACAAAATAGTATTCATAAAAGTCTTAATGATAAGTTCAATAAATGAACCTCTTGATTCCCACCCAGCTATTTTCCCTTCCATGTTTTGCCTTTAAAACACCACTTTTCAGGGCGCCTGCGTGGCTCAGTCAGCTAAGTGTCCGACTCTTGATTTCAGCTCAGGTCATGAATCTCACATGAGCTCAACCCATGAAGGGCTCCATACTCAGTGCAGGCTGCTTAGGACATTCTCTCCTCCCCCTCCCCCTCTGCTGCTCCTCCCCCTGCTCACTCATTCTCTGTCTCTAATAAATAAATAAAATGTAAAAAAATAACACCATCACTTTTCTTTTTTAAAACAACTAAGGCTTTGGTATTCATGTGTGTAGCGAAGCTTAGCTGTTTGGAAAATTGCACTTAAGCTGATCTGATGCCTTCCATCAGACGCCCATGAGGTCTCAGGATTCTCTAGGTGCCAGACCTTACATATTTGGGTTTTTAAGAAACTTCAAAATAAATGCATCAAAAAAATGTATTTTAACCTACTCCTTCTACATTACCCATACATGCTAATATACTTATAGGCACTCAATTAACTGCTCTAGAAAGCTCTAAGTCATTAAATCCTTTACCTCACTCTGCATCCACAACCAGTCACCCATGTTCCCGCTATTATGCACTCCAATGCGTCGTTTTCCATCCATCCCTATACTGCTGCCACAGGCTTAGACTGGCTTATCATCTCATGTGCACAATTCAAATGTATTCATTTCTTCCTATTCAGTCCACCTCAACTACTGCTGCAAGTTATCTTTTCAAATAAACTAACCTACTTAAAAACCTTTAAAGGTACTAACTCCCTCAAGTGGTTTCAATCACCTTTTCCCATCTTCCATATTCTCCAGCCCTGTAGTCTCTCTAAGCCAATGCTTCGACTACAGCTCAGTAGTGTCCTCTGCTAAATCATCAGTCCTCTTCCTCCTGACTCAAGAATTATTCAAACAAGTTCATACATTATCTCTTCTAGGACCTTTTCCTCAACAGGTGTAGGCTTTTAGTAACTCTCCTCCCAAAGTTTTCAATTCACTATTCTATTTCTATTCCAGCACTTAAACCCCACTGGAAGTATTTGCTCACTTGTCTATCTTCCTCACTACTTCCAGTAAATAAGGATGACTTTATTACTTTTCATAGTCTCATCATCAACTAATGTAGTGCCAACAAACATTTTTAAGTGTTTAGCAAAGGGGGAATCCAAAAGGTAAGAAACCACTTCTCTGTACAAGCTTACAGATAAAATGAACTTTTTGACAAAAGTATGTTGCCTGAAAAAAATGCTATTTTGTACTTTCTAACCGCTAAACCCATTTAGTATTGTTCCTGGAATACAATTTGCTCTTTAAATTTGCTTCTGAAAATTCTGTGCACAAAGTTAAATATTCATCAAATTTTATTTTCTCATAGACTCTCATAGACTCATAGTTTTCAAGAGATATATCTTGAAATATCAAGGTTAAGTTTTACACCCTTCAGAAAGACATGTAAGTTACTCTGAAATGCAAAAAGAAAAAAAAAACATAAAAAGTAGATCAACTGAAGGGTAGAAGCATGGACAGAAATACATACATTTACACGTATATTTGGTAAAGCAAACACAGCAAAATATGAATTGTGTAATCTAAATGATGGATAAAATGGGTGTTCACACAATTCTTTCAACTTCCTTAGATAATCTGAAATTTTTCATGTTGAAATACTGAGGAAAAAATACTGAGGAAAAGCTGTTTAGTCAACAAACATTTACTGAATATTTACTATATGTAAAGCACTTTGAGGAAAAGGGAAATACATAAACAATGGTTTCTACTCAAGGACTTTAGTGTCTAAAGTGATAAACATGAACCAACATAACTACATTTCATGAATCTCGAAACTGCTGTAAGAAATAAAGTTCAGAACTGAGGTGGCTGCAGGGATGACAAGAAACTAAACAACCTATGGAAGTAAAGTAGAATTTCATAAAAACCTAATGGTGGCTGTGAAGGCCCTGATGCCATGAATGACAAATTGGTATCTTTGGATGGTCATGAATTTATTGTAAAAAGAGAACATACACTAACATCCAGAACAATAAAAGCCATGTTGAGTGGCCCAGGTCGGTTTGCTGAGAACAAAACTAATGAAGTCAATTTTAGAGAGATCTCTTCACATGTGCTATCGAAAGTATGCATGTATTTTACCTACAAGGTTCACTACACTAACCACTCCACAGAGATTCCTGAATTCCCAGTTGCACCTAAAATTGCAATGAAACTGCTAATGGCTGCAAACTTCCTAGATTGGTAAAAAATTATAATAAATTGTTAGTTTTCAGAAAAAAAGAAAAAAAAAAGAAAGTTCAGAAAATGTACCATGTGAGTCTATGTACATTCAATATTTGAATGCAGTTTCTACCAAAAATTTGGTCATATTAATAAAATAAACACTATTTGCTTTAACTGTTAAATAAAATTATTTGTATTTGGGGCACCTGGGTGGCTCAGTGGGTTAACCCGCTGCCTTCGGCTTAGGTCATGATCTTAGGGTCCTGGGATCGAGCCCTGCATTGGGCTCTCTGCTCAGCAGGGAGCCTGCTTTCCCCTCTCTCTCTGCCTGCCTCTCTGCCTACTTGTGATCCCTCTCTGTCAAATAAAATAAAATCTTTAAAAAATAAACAAATAAATAAAAATAAAATTTGTATTTGCAACTACAGAAGAGTATTTACTACATACACAATGACTACAGTGTTCCTTTTGCATAATGCAGATGGCAAAGGCCTATTAACATAAAGGTCTACTGTCATTATATGTAAGCCCAACATTAATTTTTTTTTAAGTATTTTGTTTTTGGTTTTGGTTTTTTTAAATTTTTTATAAACATATATTTTTATCCCCAGGGGTACAGGTCTGTGAATCGCCAGGTTTACACACTTCACAGCACTCACCATAGCACATACCCTCCCCAATGTCCATAACCCCAACCCCCCTCCCCCCAGCAACCCTCAGTTTGTTTTCTGAGATTAAGAGTCACTTATGGTTTGTCTCCCTCCCAATCCCATCTTGCTTCATTTACTCTTCTCCTACCCCCTTAATGCCCCATGTTGCATCTCCTCTCCCTCATATCAGGGAGATCATATGATAGTTGTCTTTCTCCGACTGACTTATTTCGCTAAGCATGATACCCTCTAGTTCCATCCACGTTGTCGCAAATGGCAAGATTTCATTTCTTTTGATGGCTGCATAGTATTCCATTGTGTATATATACCACATCTTCTTGATCCATTCATCTCCAACATTAATTTTTTAAGTGGAGATGAGAATACTGAGAGTTATCTACCCCTAACATTACTGTCTCTTCTCAACCCTGATCTCTAGTTATAAAATTATAGAGTCCTTATTATAGTGTGAAATGGACCATGACAATAACTGAGTTACCTTTAAGCTCCTAAAATAACTTTTGAAAAAAAAAATAGCTCTAGTATAGAAATAAAATATTCAAAAATATTTATCTATATATTGCTTGATTCCAGATAAGGCTGCATAATGAATTACAGTGCAACTGATGAAAAGTTTATGCTCCCAATGCACAAGCACTACATTATGTATCTAATCTGATAAACCCCAGAAAAATACTGACTCTTATTCTGCCACCATAACAAAATCACATTCTGTACTTTAATATATTCCCTTCTAGCCTTTCTCTAAGATTCTTTATGTGCTCAATGAGCTAATGACAGTTGATTCACTAGATTCAGTTTTACAGACTATAAAACTTGAGACAACATATTATCTTAAAATGCCAACAGAATAATTAACAACTTCAAAAACACACTATGAAGAGCAAAAAAAAAAAATTTTTTTTATACTGTTTTTATTGGACAAAAAAATTTTAAAAACCTAAACTCAGTTTTGGATAATACAATGGAAGAACAATGCAGATGAAATCTGTAATTTAAGGTTTTCTAACTCTAACTAAAGAATGTGTACTCCCCAATTTATGAAAACATCTTAATTTCAGAAATCAAAAATAGCTGCTTCCATGGCGTTTTATCTAATAAACTATCTTTAAGAAAGAAATATTTTTATGGTGAAATTCCTTTTTGTCATGAGACAGAACTGAAATAACACTACTGATTTTAGGTGTACAACATAATGATCTGATATATGTATACACTGAAAAATGATTAGTTACTTATCACCCATCACCACACAGTTCTGTATTTTTTCTTGTGATAAGAACTTTTAAGATCTACTCTTCCAGAAACTCACAGTGAAATTTTAAGACTTCTTTCACATCATGGTAAGATGGAAATAAGTAAAAACAATGGAACCAACCACCACTGGTTTGATATAAGCATACTACCTTTGATTTAGGCACACAACTGTTAGTTAAAAATAACTTACCACCTGGGTGGCTCAGTCAGTTGAGTATCCAACTCTTGGTTTCAGCTCAGGTCACAATCTCAGGGTCATGAGGTTGAGCCCCATGTAGGGCTCCACACTCAGCAGGGCGTCTCCTTGAGATTATCTCCCCCTCTCTCTGCCCCTCCCCGCCTATATGCGTGGGCGTTCTCTCTCTCTCTCTCAAATAAATAAATCTTAAAACAAACAAACAAAAAAACAAAAAAAAACTTACCCATACTGTGGTGCTCCCGTTTTAATGTCTCCTATAGTGACATGAACATCATCCTCATCATCATCACTGTCACTATCACTATCATCTTCAGTCTCGGTCACTTTCTATACCAACATAAACAATTATAAAATACATTCAAGAATTCATCTCAACATCTAATATGAGTAACTGAAAAAGTAATCATTTTGTGTTTTTTGAAGTATAGTTTTAGAGAAAAATTACAATTTCATAGCACTGTTACCTCATGTGTAACTGTTATACATGATAAATAAGGATAAGAATGTAAAATAAAATCTTTTCTCAGCATCATCTTTTTGTAAATAACACCTCGTGTATTTTTTCCTATGATTTGCAACTGCTTCTCTGAAAAAAAAAAGTCTAAGGCATTGTACTAAGCTATTTAGAACATAAATTATAAAAAGTAAGTATCTGAGGAATTTTTATCAAGAATATGAAGAGGAAAACAATTAACTTTAAGAGTCATGGTTAAAAGACACCAAACAGTTAAGAAGCAGTTCAGTTATTCTTGTCATTCATTTACAGTTAGAAGAGTCCCTGGATGCAGATGATTGAGGGATTACTTTGTTTCTAGGAGCATAAAGTGGGACTATTTACAAAGGCTTTATTTTGGCTCTAAAAGGCAATTCTGTGCTTAGTCACAGAATAGTAAACAAAAAAGCAGGTCGCCTAGGCAAACTATTTTTTTGTATACAAGTTCAAGCCTGTAGAATAATGATTTCCTTCTTTTCATAGGATCAGAATGTTAAAATATTCATAAAACCAATACGTGTTCACCCCCCAAAAAGACACTTTTAACAGGCATCACTGAAGTTAGAGAATATCACATATTTATGTAAAAATATATTGTTCCAAAATTATGACAATCAAATTTGGGCTATGGGACTTAATGTTTTCCTTGAAAATGAGGTTCACTATGATCTCTAGTTGAGCTACAATCACTCAGTTCCTTGATAGCAGTCAGCTTCAAGCCTTCGCACATGCTCCTCTTACTTCATGGAAAGTCTCTTCCCACTACTGCCTCTCACCACTGTGCTTTTGATGGCACCAGATGAGGTGGAATATAAGAGCAGTCCAGATCACGCCGGACACTGAAAGTCATGTTCAATTTGTGGCTTTCTTCCTAAGTGAAGGGGAAACTACTATAAAGACTTTAAACAGAGAAGTAACTAAATTTCAAAGCCTTATGTTACCGGTTTCGGCACGCCATTTTCAGCAGTTTCGTCTTCAATTCCAGATGGAGGATTAGCACTACAAACAACAGAAATAAGCGCACAATCTGGTATTACTTTTCAGAAGTACAGACAGAGTACACTCGTATTTTTTAAAAGCTCTATCTGATAGTTTCCTAAAATTACTATCTCCACTGGAAAAGGAAAAGGATGGCAAAAACTTTGTGTGCTATTCTGCTATTCCTACTGCTTTGCATAACACCCATATTCAACATTCAAAGTAGAACAGAACTGCCAAAGGATGTCAAATTGCAAATCTGACAATGGGCTATAATTCAAGTTTTTTATTATTTTAAAAATATGCATCACACTTAATTTTATTTAGCCTAACTATTGGATATACGTTATTTCATAAAAGATACATTTTAAGATTTAAAAAAAGTTTATCTTCACGTAAGACTGCCTTTCCATTTGATGCCAATTAGTAGCTCCAGCCTAATTTTGATGCATTAAAAAACAAATTACTTTTTGAAGGCCAATCAATACCTGAATTTGCCATATTAAAGCAAAACTGAAATAAAATAATAAACCCCTCTTTTCTGAGACTCAAGCATATGGTCATTAATTACCAAATAAAACTTGTAGTACTGTACTGTAATTGGCTTCTTATATTTTAATAATTATGATTTCTATAGTGGCAACTAGCCATTAACCTCACTTTATAGTAAAGAAACCCAAGGACAAAGCAACTAACTCATATTTAGTAGGTTTTCTATGAAAAACCTCCAGATCTTGATATAGTTCAAACATCTTTTCATTAGATTTCTGCTTATCTCTTCTACACCCTACTTTGTACCAAGCAGTTTTTATACACATCAATGTAATCCCTACGTGGTATTTTACAATACAATCCTCATATAAAGCAAAAATGAAAATTTAATCGGGCGCCTGGGGTGGTTCAGTTGATGAAGCAACTGCCTTCAGCCCAAGTCATGATCCTGAAGTCCTGGGATCAAGTCCCACAATGGCTCCCTGCTCCGCAAGGAGTCTGCTTCTCCCTCTGACCCTCTCCCCGTCATGCTCGCTCGCTCTCTCTCTCTCTCTCTCTCTCAAATAAAATCTTTAAAACTAAACAAACTGAAAATTTAAATGTTAAGTTTTACTTGTGATACTTCTTGACCCAAGAAAACAAATATACAATTATAATTCTTTAGTACACTTAGCTCCTGCTTAATTAAGTTTCTAGGTAGCCAGAAACAAGTTCAGTTTGCCACGGAACAGTATATTCAGCCAAAACTTGGACAAATAAAACATGACAAAATTGGAGACAGCATAATGTGATGGTTAAGATGTTTTAACAATGAACCAGACACCAAAAAGCTGGGGAGAACTCTCATAGCAAGGACTCTGCTCAGTTAGGGCAAGGTGATGATGTACCAAGCTAAATACTAGAACACAGATTTGGTGAACATGCCTTCCCCA